ACTTGAAGCAGATAACGTAGATGCTCTAAAATCTCGTGTGAAAATATATTCTAAACTAAATCGTAACGAAGAAAAACTAGCTGATCTACGCAAAATATTGTTAATAGAAGAAAAAAGAAGATATGATAATGACTTTGACAGATATTTGATATGATGATGCAAAAGTATTAAGATTTTTTTTTGATTTTTTTCTCTCTCCGCATCCAGAGGTCCTTAGACACCTTAGGATTTCTCTCACTTCCCTAAGGCCAGCATTATCATTATTGCGGAGATCTACAAAACTCATATTGCCTCTATATATCACCGTACTCGTGAGATACTGCGAAACATATACGATTTACATCGGACATGTTACTAGTGTGTATAAAAAGATATTATCAATAGAAATAGGAAAGGTTTGAAATTTGTTTATTGCTAATCAATATCAAATATAATCCAAACCATTTCTTTATAAAAAAAAAAGTTATTATATTACCGTACAGCGAGGACCATAGTAGCCGGATACAAAATTAGTACGGAGTATTTACTAAGCGATTTTATTATGAAAAAAAAATTTATATAGAAATTTTAATAAAGCAAGAATATACATAATTAAAACTATTAATCTTTTGTTAAGCTATTGCACCTTTAGGCAAGTGCTAACTTCAGGCACCATTCAGCCGCCATTTGACCAAATATGTCGAATATTTGTTGATTGTTTGTTGAATGCTATCGCATGTTTGTCGAATGTTGGTTAAATTGTATGTCAAATGACAGCCGAATGATGCTATTCAAAATGGCGAGTTTTTTTCTTTTGACTAGTGTTGCAGGTTTTCTTTTGACAACACTCATGTTTTATGGCCAAAATTCACTCTTGGAGCTCCTTATTGCTAAGTTAGGTTAACAAGGCAGTGTATGGATTCTGACCCACAAAATAACCCTTTGCTGCAAACGTAATGAATAATGTTCAATAGTACTAATACATATAATAAAAAATATAAATATGATGAATAGAATAAGTGCATTTTATAATTAAGTCTTCTAATTTTATAATTTTATTCACGCTTGATATTTTTTAATGTAATTTTATTATCCTATAAAATTTTTACTAAAATCACAATTAGATTACATTGAAAGATCGTTACATAAATATTTATATTAAACATTTTATTTATAACCAATTATTTAAAAAAGTCATGGTAGATAAATAAAAAGATCTTCAATTTGATTATTATATTGAGAAGAATCCGATATATTCAAATTATGATATAAATTCGGGGGTCTAAGGTAATCAGTATTATTTTCAATTAAATTAATTAACTCTGGAAAATTAAATTCTTTACCAACAATAAAATTTTCTAATGCTTCATGAACAAAATCAATTTCTGGACGTTTTTTAGGATCTAAATCCCAACATTTTTTATAAAGTTTAATAAAATTTTCCGGAGTATTTTCTACAGGAGTTTCTCTTAAACCTTGAAATATTTGTATTACTACTGCATCCCTTGATGTGATTGATTCAAATGGTGTTCGACCACTTGAAATTTCCCAAAGAATAACACCTAAACTATAAACATCGGATTTTTTGTTTCGTTTATATGAAGGATTAATAAAACATTGAGGTTCTATATATGCAGGAATTCCATGTCCAGTAGATGATGTGATGGAAGACTCATTTTTGGATAATCCAAAATCCGCAATCATCATTTTTCCTTCATGAACCAAGATATTTTTGGAATGCTATAAATAATTATAATTATAAATATAAATGTAAATATTAAATACAAATATAAATCTAACAATGTAAATAATAAGAAATAACTTGAGAATTAATAAAATAATTATATGTTCTTACAAGGTCAAGATGAATAATATCATTAGTATGTAAGAATAAAAGACCCAATGTTATTTCTTCGGCAATACGTAATTTGTCAGTCCATTGAAGGGTAGAAAAATTTTGGGTTAAATAATTTCGTAAATCACCATCAGCAGCGAATTGTAAAACCATTTTATAATTTGCTGTAAGTGGATCTGAAAGTGGATCTATTTATTTATATAAAACAAAATAAAAAATTAGTGTTAAATATAATCATTCATTGTATTAAATAGTTGTTATGTAAAATGACTTACCTTTAATAACACCATAAAACTGATTGATATTTGGATGAAAGCTAACTTTTTGTAAATGTCGGAGCTGTACATATTTTATAAAAAAAAACAACTTTAGTACTTAATTACGATAGAGACCTACAGTATATGTTAAAGTAACTTAATACCTCTTTAATAAATTCATGACTAATCATATCTTCATTACCAGTTAAACTTTTAAGAGCCACCGTCAATTGACAATCTTTCCACAAAGATTTGTATACAATTCCGAAGGCACCTCTACCAATTTCCACGAAATTAACGAATTTATTATAATCAAAAAGATTAATGTTCTCATCTTGAATAGCTTTTTGAAGCCATTTTATTGAAACATTTGACGTATTTATTATGGAATTAGAGCATTCACCATTTTTTAAATGCATTGTCCCTATGTACGAATTTAATCTCTTTTAATGCAACTTTTATTTTTGTTCAACCTTAAATATTCAAAAAAAAAAATCAATCTAATATTTAATAGTTAAGGTGTGTTTTTATTGTTTTATCAAATACGTAAATCTGTGTAATGTCACAACTGCAAACTCGAATTTGCTTTCATTTAGTCATGTGAAAGTCATGTGTAAAATCTATTACGTAGTACGTAATCGTTATTTATTACAATATCATTACAATTATAACGAGAAATCCAAAATTTTAATTTAAGATGCAAAATGTTTATTATACATGAATATACAAAAGACTATGGAAATCTATATTAACTTCCATTCATCCCAACCAAGAATTTTATACAATAAATATCACAAATATTGAAAGACTTCATAATCCTCTACTTGAAAGGTTTCATCCGTATCTCGAATTGGATTTTCATAATCAGATTTATAACACCTCCATTTCCTTTTACTACCAGAAACCATGTATAAATCTAATCCGAATGAAGGTCCAAGACCTTTTTCATGATATATAGCATGTTTTGGACATGTAACGTTACTAAATATTAAATTTCCATTATTGTTTAATGAAAAAAGAAAACTTTCATCAGTTACAGAGAAATAAGCTTCTTTAGAAGTAAAATTTCCAAGTTTTATCCATTTTAAAGGATTATAACCACCAATAATTTCATGAGCATTTTGAATTTTAAGAATCAAGATGCTTTTTTCAATATTTTTTAATTTTTTAAAAAAAACATTTTTACCAAATCCATCATTATTCCCTTTAAGAATTAATTTTAATTTATCTGGAATCATAGATATTTCAAGTTCTTTAAGTGAAGAATCGATACGTGTAATAAGTTCTTTAAAGTTTTTAATTGAAATTAATGTTGAAATTTGTGGATTTTTAATTTGATTTAATTTTGTGAGAACAAATTCAGCATCCGGTCTTTCTTTTGGGTTCTCAATCCAACATTGTTGATATAATTCAATATATTTAGATGGTGTATTATTTACAGGAGTTTCTCTATCTCCTTGAAATATTCGTATAGCAACAGCATCTCTTAATAAAATGGATTCAAATGGTGGCCTGCCACTCGAAATTTCCCAGAGTATGACACCTAAACTATATATATCTGATTTCTTGTTACGTTCATATAAAGGGTTTATAAAGCATTGTGGTTCAATATATGCAGGTAAACCATGAATACTAGAAGCATAAGAGTTTGAAACTGATCTTGAAGCTGAAACATCACTCGATTGCTTTGAAAGTCCAAAATCTGAGATCATCATTTTTCCATCATGAACTAAAATATTTTTCGAATGCTTTAATGAAAAAAAAAAAAGATAAAATATATGAATGAGTTTATAAGATTTCAATAAATAGATTTTAAGTCTTTAAATCGATTTACAATAATAAATGAACTTACAAGATCACGATGTATGATGTTGTTATTATGTAAGAACATGAGACCAAGTGTAATCTCTTCAGCAATGCGTAATTTATCTGCCCAGCGTAAATTTATAAAATTTTTAAAAAGGTAATTTCGCAAATCACCTCCATCGGCATACTGAAGGACCATATTATAATGACCTGTATGCGGATCTATTTAATGATTAAAGTTAAGATTACATTATTAAATATTAACGATCAAAGTCAAAAAAAAAAAAATCACAAACCTTGAGTTACCCCATAAAAAGTAATTATATTTGGGTGAAAACTAACTTTTTGTAAGATACGGAGCTGTTCATATTATATAATATAATGTTTTAAATTTGTTTAATTAAAGAAAAGTTTGGACAAAGTCATAAAAACAAATTATACCTCTTTTATAAATTCACGAATCACTTTATCTTCGAGATTATCAATACCGATATTACCTTTTATCAATATACTTTTAAGTGCGACTACTAATTTGCACTGTTTCCATAGGCATTTGCGCACCATTCCAAACCCGCCCAAACTTATCTGAACGATGTCGGTAAACTTATCAAAACTAAAATGATTAATGTGACCTTCATCGATAGCTCCCTCTAACCATTGCGTTAAATGGTTTGTAGTGTGCGTTAAAGGGTTTGTAGTGCCTGAAGATGAAGGAAGCATTATGATTAACGTTAAATGAACTCGATAAATTTGATTAACGTTAAATATAGTTTGTGTTCATGCCACTGCTTCACATGATTATTGTGCATTACATGCGGTTCCACAAATCCGCAGGCGTTTCTTTTTATCGACTCTTTATCTCAGTACATATCGGTATCGATATGCAATACACACCATTTTCGTCTATTGTCAACTAAAGTCATATCAACAATGACTAGAACCAATGATTACGTACTTATCATGTTTCTTGACAAAGTTTAAGTCAGAAACATTACCGTTAAACAAGTTTTGGAATTTTATTTTAATGTTAAACGTCATATATCTAAATAACAAGAATACATTTTTTTATTTTTTTTTTCAAAAAAAAAATAATGATAATAAATAATAAATCTTATATTTGTTTATAATAATTCTAATAAGCTAATTTTAATAGGTATACAATATATATATATATATAAATATTTATAATTATTTTATAATTTATAAATGCAATATGATTCTGAAATTAAACCAAATGTTTAGTAGTGATAATATGGATGGGGTTTTTTTTTGAAAATAAATAAATGATTTGTAAAAATAATGATAATAATACATAAATTTAGTACAAAAAAAAAAAGATTAAATTTGTTTCATTATCTTTGCTCTTGTACGTTCTAAATCTGTATAACATCCAATACCATTGGATGCTGATTTTTTATACCAATCAAGTGCTTTTCCTAGGTCTTTTGTCGTTCCTTGACCAAATTCAAAGCATTGACCGATTTCGTATTGAGCTTCAGGTGAATCACCTTCAGCAGCCTGCATAAATAAACCAAATCCTTTAGATACATTAAAATTAGTTCCTCGTCCTTTTTGATAACATTTCCCTAATAAATGTAATGCCATAACATTTCCTTTATCAGCAGATTTTTGTAACCATTTCATTGCTAAATAAAACTTTTGTTTTTTATAATAATAAGCACCAAGTGCGTATCCTGCAGCCGCACAATCATCACTTGCTTGTGTAAAACAAGCAATAGCTTTAGTTCTTTTTTTCTTAACATTCCAACCATCTTCATAACATTTTCCTTCAAGATATTTTGCTAAAGAATTTTGTTTTGTTGCAGCATCTTGAAAATGTTGAAAAGCGTTCCCTTTAGTACCATCAGTTCCAATATTCCAACGAAAGAATATACCTAAAAGACAATCATATTCTGGTTTATCTTTATGGTAAAATAATAACCATTTAAAAACATCATAATTCGATTTACAATTTGTATCAAGAAAGTTTTTAATAATTTCTGGAATGGAATTTTTTCCTTTATTAAACAAATCGATAATTTCTACATATAATTGATCCACAATAATGGCCATTGGATCTTGATTAAGGTAAAATATTTTATCAAGGCATGCCCTAAAAGCTTCTGTACTAGTGACATCTATATCAATTTGTTCATCTTTATTAACATTATTCTGATTTGTGTTCTGACTTGTGATATTTACAATATTGGACATATTTTTACCGGATGGAATTTTTTACCGGTTGAAATTTGTTTTTTTTAAAAAAAAAAAAATGAAATGTGGGAATAAAAAAAAATTTCTCACAAACGGGTTGTTTATAAAACTAAGTGTGATATTTGTGTACCGTAACACATTGTGCACACAATGAACAATATTACAGCATTCAATGTTGTGATAGAATACATTTGTTATGTACAACTTTATGGGCACAAACATTTATTCTTGAAATAGCTACAACAAAAACTATCATATCCATCTCTTTTGATCGTTTAAATTTTCATTATTAGATTAACAGGTCATATGATGACATTCTATTATTGGTTAATATATGTAAATAAAGGCGTGATCACAAATTAATCAAAAAAATTAATGCGCGAGAAAGAGTAAATAAAACCTTATTAATTATAATTATAATTGCAAATCTTATTAATTATGATTATAATTATAAATTTTATTAATTATAATTATAATTATAAACTTAAATATTAACACTACTTTTTGAACATTAATACCCTCTACATGTGTTTTATTAATATCTTTGATCTATATTAATAAGTAATACATAACTATCTATACCCAACTAAAGTTAACACACCCGTCTAACAAGTTAACTCTACATAAATTTAAACTAGCATATAATTGTTTGAATAACTGTTTTTTAGAATCGAATAAGTTAAACACCTTGAACGTTTCATTTAATTACCCGTTTCTTTGTATTCAATAAAGAATTCGCTTCTAAATGAAACACGTTTACTATTTATTTTGTGTCCTCATGAACTCCATTATCGAATAATATACAAGAGATCAACAACTCCCTTTTTACTAACCTGTTTTAGTAAGGTTTAGAAATATAATTTTCTTTTACCAAGAATGGTTTTTTTTTGAAATTTGAAATAATATTATGAATGATTATATTTTTTAAATTATAGACCAAACGCAAGTAATTTGTTTGTTTTATTATATTGTAAATTCGTCTTTTCTAGCAATTTAAAGTATTTAATAAAATTTGATATAATAAAAACTATTAATTTATTTATATACAGTACTTGATTCAACTTAGTTTAATTCAATTTTTTATATTAAATAAATATATTCAAAATACTATAAGATTTATCTTATTAAAACAATAACCTCTTATAAACAATAAAAAAATTTGTTTATAATATTCAAAAATAAATTAATTGGTTATTATTAGGATTGAAATACAAAATCTCTAGAATTATATACTACGTATTATCTAGGGCATGCTCTAGGCATATTTTACTTAAATATCATAACAGCTAATACGTATAATTTGTATCTACGTATTCATATATTATTAGCCAATCAAATCCCGATTTATATTTGTGTAAAACCCAGAACCAAACTTAGAAATTTACTATGACTAGGTTTCTGCAGTACTGGTCTTAATTTGGTGGTACACGGTAATCCAATATGTGATATTGTCGTGCTTGAAATTAGCATCTGTAGCATCTGTAGCATCTGTAGCATCTGTAACTTTAAACTCCGGAAGTTGAAATTGCCTAAAATTAATGCGTGGTTATTTTTGGGTGGTGGACAGGTACCAGTTTTGGTTACTTTTTTGATGCAGTTATTGTTAGTGAGTTATAAAGATATCAAGAATACAATTTATGCAGTATGTAGATCATTATGTGAATGTACCTGGCTTTTAACGGGACCCCTTAAAATTGGTAACTTAAAGCAGATGTCAACTTCAAACACAACCAATATCACATATAAATAAGAGAAAGCTACGTACGTACGTATGTACTACGGACACAAAAATAACCAGAATTAGCACTAGAGTTAAGGTTAGGGGTTATATACACAACACTGGCTGGTTTAATACGTGAGTGTTTGTGCACCATAATTAGCATCATAATAAAGTGAATAGTGGGTATGTACTCACTAATTTTTCAAATTTGATAACTATTTTTGACAGTTAAATCTATTTTTATAATTGTAAAATTTGATGATACGTACGTACGTATAAGTTTTACGTATTATGATTTAAAAATATTTTGATTTATTTAAAATTTAATAAACAAGTTTTCAGGTAATATCAAAAAAAAAAATGGTTTATTGAATAATATTTTTTTACAAAGATATTAAAATACACATCAAAAATGTATATATATTTTATATATTATAACAAAATTGTTCTTTTCACATTTACATTAAAAATTATACAAAAATATACAATTATAAACATTATGAAATTTCAGCCTTATATTTAGCCCTGTAGTTGCTATGTATATATATAGCAACTCCTATTATAATTACAGCAGACCATGATATCACATAAGGCAAAAAATAAAGTGGCTGATTTTTTAGTGGGAAGAATGTTGCAATTGCAATAAAAATCATGCATGCCAAAAATATTTTATCCAAAAAGAACCGTACTTTAAAGGGGCGTTGAATAGCCCGATATTTCTTTTTCAAAATCTAATTTAGAAACGATTTAATTATTGTTAAAAAAATATATATACGTATATCGAGTATATTAATAAAAATAATTTTCTTTTTTACAACATACCATTAGACCAATCGCACTTGCGGCATAATATATCAATGTTAAGTAAAATGATATATTACTGAAAAAAAGAAAAAAATTTGCGCCTTTTTACAAGAATGAACATTAATTAAGTTCGGTTAATATAATACCTTTGAAATATATTGTGTCTTATTGAGAATTGATTCCCTACCTGTTGGAAAGAGCATAATCAAAGTTGAACAATAAATAAACTGTGCAAATAGGGCTCTCGTCGGTGTGTTAAACAAGAAACTCCACTTAGCAAAATATTCGGGTATGAACCCAGATAGTGAAGAATAAACAATTATCCGGGCACCGGTGAAGCACATTGAACTAACAGCACCAAAAGATGAGATTGCAATAAAAGCTGAGATAAGTTGTTTGCCAATATTTTTATCAAGACTGTCTCCAAACGAAATGGCAATCACATGACTAGCATTGCCGGTACTATTAATAGTAGCATCGTTAGGATTTAAGACCATGACATAAGCAATATTGATAAGAATATCTATATAACAAAAAAAAAATTTTTTTTATTGTTATTAATATAATGTGATAATTGAATTTTATGAAATTGTGGTATTTTAACATACAAAGTATGATTGCGGTTATTGTACTAAAGATATTCGAAAATTTCAGGTTCCGCCGGGGACTTTCCAATTCATCAATTAAATCTATAAGAAATTGATTGAATAATTCAATAATTTTTCAAGAATATTTATAAATTGAAGAAAGAAAAACTTACAGTTGACATTGTTCCATCCTTAAATATAATCATAAAAAAAAATATGAGTTTTATGATCTTATTTCGACACTAATAAAATAAATTTAATTTACATACCCTCGTATGCATACAGAACCTATATAATTTAAATAGATAATTTTAAATAAATTATAAACAATTCTATCTTGTATTTGACATATTAAAGCTAACGAACCTTCATCATAGCATCACCATATCCTCCAATTTGTTCTACAGGAGTATCATTCCTATTAATTGTGCTATAAAACGCATTTGCCCCTTGATATCTACTTAAACCAATTATTATCCCCACAATACTTAAAAAAAATAATGCCAAAACCTTGAACAATATTTAAAAATCAAAATGAAAGTTACTTCAGTTACTTCATAATTGCATAAAAAAAATTTTTTTAACTTGCACAACATGCAATTAAATTTTTATTTTTTTTACTTGCATAAATATAACTTATCTAATTTATATTTATTTTTGTGCAATTTTTTTTCTTAAAAATTTATTTGCACATTTGCATAAATTTTTTAAAACCTTTATGCATAAGCATGCCAAATTTAAATACTGACCTTGAATATGGCAAATGTTTGATTGATATAAACCGCTAATTTATTGTTGGCGGCATTACATAAAGTAATAAAAAACAAGATGAGCACTGATGCCAACCGAATTTCACTGAATAAAAATTAAGTCTGTAAGTGTTGATATGATGAAGTTCAATATTTAAAATAATATAGCATTCACTCACAAAAAGTCCGGATTGGTAAAATATCCGTCTGGATTTAAATATTGTGTTGAATTATCGTCTCCTCGGAACAGATATAAAAGATACTGGGTACCAACATATGTATCTCCGGCGATAGCGCCGGGACGAATAATACTTTGTATTGAAACATAATAATGGTTAATGAAACATGATAACTATAAATAAATTTAAACGTGCATTTATGTTTAGTATGTATACATACGTTAACATTGCAATACTAAACCCATGTGCAATGATTTTCTTATTTGGGTATGCTTCCTCTAGGTATCTAAGTTCCCCCGCCCCCCGGGGAAGCATAGATCCTAGCTATTGAATTAAAATTAAAGAATTAAAAATAAAGAACTGTCACGTGAGCTTTTGAAAAATTATAAAGTAACGTACTTCAGCATATATTAGACAACCAAGGAAACTAATTAGCCCGCCCAAAACGAAAAACATGAGAGCAATAATTGGCGACCCTGTTAATCGCCATACATCACCAGGTGTGGCAAAAATTCCTATTTAAAGTATAAAAGTTACAAAGAATGAACTTCCACATATAAAGTCAAACAAAGTTAAAGACAATAGGCAACATATATCTATATTTACCACTACCAATTATAATATTCAAACTGAATCCCATCCCCGTAAAGATCCCTAGGAGACGGATATACGATGAGCTTAATGCTGATATTTCATTATCTGGATTAATTGTTTCATTATCCATGATACGCAATTTTTATTAATTGTAAAATGGAATTATTACGATCTATTTTATTCTATATCTATTTATATATAGTTCGTTGGGCAAACTTTAATTCATTATTATATTTCTAAATCAAATTCGTACCACAAAGATTTAAGAATACTGTACATACATTTAAGTATGTTTGTATTTTAATAGTTAATTTAGAAATAATTTCTCTCTCATAATGATCCTGCAATAACATTCAATGTTTATTATTACAAACAATAAATCACATAGACCTGACAACCTGACATATTCAGGTTTCAGGTCCCGTGCCGCCTTATTTAACTTAACACATGCATGCATAATGTTTACAGAAACTATTAATGGTTAAAGCTATGGAAATAATATCAGATATGTATCATTTGTCTTTATTGGCGATTATAAAAAAATTCCTGATAAACCTTTTTTATGGTCTCGTGATGTGGTAATTGACAAATTTAATCGGATAATGGCGTCCGTTGTTTTGTTACTTGTTACAATTATCGGTATGTATCGGTATGTACGTACGAATTACTTGTTGTGTGACATGAAGAACGAATCAATTGCTAAATTATTTTTATATCGTGCTGCGTTTAAAGAAAAATTAGATATATTCCATTCCATTTATTCATGTCTTGCAGCTCCGTGCATGGTTATAGACAATCGTTGTCTCATATGTAAGTACGCTTAACTATTAATAGTATTATTAATAGTGTTAGCAATAACGATAACAATAAGAATAATAATATGAATAAGGCAATTATATATATATCTTTGTACATGCAAGTATACATTATTCGGCGAATAACGGTAATTTGGTTCAATCGGGTAAGTGAACACAAATGTGTACCAGGTTTGTAATTCGTCAAGGTTATGAGTTAAAAAGTAGTAGTAGTTTATATACGTAGTAAAATTGTCGAACGAAAACTTTTTGTTGGAGCACAAAAGGTGGTTTCTTATGCAGATTTTTGAGTTATGAGCGATTTTTGGCAGAACTAACGTATGATTTGATCATGTTACGTCACATCTAATATTGGAATCTGATTCGTAGTTCAAGAGATCTGGGCCGAGTGCATGAACGCTTGCCACGAAGCAGCACGTGTCAGCCAACATTTGCCAAATGACCGCTATTTAAAAAATTTTAATTCGAGTAAACGTGATTATTTATAACATGAAATAAATTCATGTTCATAAAAGTTTGACGATATATATACAACATCGGTTTTCGACGCAATCAACTTGCTCGACTGTGTGTCAGAACTTGTAATTATAACCGATTAACCGTTGTAATATATCAAAAAGAACATGGATTGGTTAGCCGGTTAGAATCACAAGCTGCAAGCTATTTTCGTCATAAAAATTGTTACTTAATTAAAAAAAATAAACAGTAAACAAAGCCAGTCAGTATTGTTAATTGAACCAATTGGACATATAGACACTGCGTGAATGTAAGTATTGACATCTAAATTCCTACTGCTGTACTGTATATTTAGGGATTGGAACCGCTAAAATTTCCACCCGTTTAACTGTGTTTACCGATTAATTCAGCCGGCATTAAAATAATTTTCAACATAATTCCACTCGAAACTATGAACTAAGTTTTAAATAGTTAAACTGTTCCAATCCTTAAATATAAATATCATCATAACTACATAGAATCAAAACACTCTTTTGAAGAAATCGATAATATATTAAATTTTTGGCCTGGTTAACCAACATTCGTTCTCTGATGAAATTTTTTTCTCATGTAATTTTTTGCTATTTCTAACTCAAAATTTATAACGCAAATAAACGAAATAAATAAATAAATAAATATATATATATATATATATATATATTTATTTATTTATTTATTGAAATTACCACATATACGGTATATCTGTTTCGTGCCATTCCTCAATTTTTTATGTCAATTAATTAATTGACATGTGTCATTATTAAATTAGAGAATGACATGGGTCATTTTGCAATAGGTATAAATTTTTAAAAAACGACATATATCACTTCTAAATTTAAAAAATGGTAACATTTGGTAAAGATGTAATATAGAAAAATCTTGTAACGATAATGATATATCCGACCCTTCGGAATTAATCAATGACATATCTATACATCATGCAAATTTTTGTGATTCTAAAGGTTACTAACGTATGAATAACGAGGTAAAACATCTTTGGGTTTCGAAAGGAGAATATAAAAAAGAATGACTGCTTAACCTGGTTCTAATTTTTATATAAATGGTGTTCCAAAATGTTTACTGCCAACATTAATTATAAAGATAGTTAACATGCCTTTCATTGCCATTTTGCTGAATATTTTGTTTTATTGCTAAATCAATATTTCTTTTATGAATCTATAAGTTTTATATATCTTTTAAATGTTTATGAATCTATTAAGTTTTATATATCTCTTAAATGTTTATCAGTAGAAGAATCTAGTCGGCCCATTTCAAAAAAATCAATATCTATTGGTTTTTCCTTTTAGGCTCTAATGACTTTATAATCGAGTCTATATTTATTTTCATAGCCATATTTCAATGTCTTCTTCGTTTTTCTATTAAAACCAATAAATTGTTATACAGAAAAAAACGAAACCAAAAATCAACAAAATGTTATACGGAAAAAGAATCAAAACCAAAAAAATGATAGGATAATATCAAAATAGATTAATTATATACCTCAAAAAAAATTTATTTTAGGGCAAGTCAATCTCTCATCGTTATTTCTATTAATAGAGATAAAACTTCACAAACAAATGATCCCTCATTTACATTAAAATTTTCTTATTTCGTAAAGATGTCCACTTCAATGATCTTTAAATAGCTTTATCTTTTAAATTCATGATCTTATGCAAGGAGATTCATTTCCACGAAGAATGAATATAACCACATGCATCTGAAATATATATATAAAAAGAGAAAGACAGGTTAGATAAAAATTCTACAGTTACGTTTCTGAATCAATAAAATAACTCCAATATATTATTTTGTATGATTCAGTTGTCTTAATATAATGTTTAGAAACGACTTACAAATAATAAAAAAAAAAAGCTTAGTTTTTAGGACATTCGAATAATCAATACTTTAATTTTATATCTGATGTGTAATATATATGAACGGCTACTGCTAAACCTATACAAAATAAAATATATAAACTTAGTACATTCACCGTCCAAATACTGCTTATACTTTCTTTGTCTCAATAATAAGAAAAACGTTAAAAATATTTACAAACTCGAGTAATTAATGCTTTAACATTTTCTAAGACAAACCAAAAAATCCAATTTGTATTTTTCTTTTTAAAAAAAAAAAAAAATTTACCCGCTGTTTCAATACTTCATTAGAGAATAATAAAATTGTATTCATAAAATTTTTGTTTTTCTTTATCAAAAATCATCCGTTATTCAGGTATTAGTCCTAATCAATCTGGGTATAAATACTTGCTTAACATTGCATAATAACCTCCAAGTCATTTCATTCGCATTAATCAAAAATGTTTCAAATAGCAAAAGAGGCTATTGGATTTATTAATAAAATGAGCTTTCAATCGTTTCGGCAGATCTATATAGTCTGATATGTAAATAAACCCATCAGTGATAACTCCGGTAAAATTAGTCTATCATTTTTGACCAAATTTTAAAATTATTTTACTTAAGATCCGGTCAAATGATTAACAATTTTGCCCGGAATTATAACTGATGGATCCCCCTTATTTATTAGATTTGCTAATATAGTTTTCTAATACCGTTCCCAATCTTTCAACAGCATATCACTAGCGTTAATAATTACGTTCGGCTGGTGAAATCAAAAAAAAAACCCCCCAAGAGCATAAATACTTATTTACCATTACATAATACCTTCAAGTTATTTCACTTACGTTAATCATTTCATTCAAATTGTAAATTAATAATCATTAGTCAGTGAAATAAAATCAGAAAAACAAGTTCATAAACCCCAAATACTTATCATTACACGGTGCTATTCAAGTTAATCATTTCATTCATCTGATAAATATAAAGACCATTAATTAGTGAAGTTAAACGAATTCAACTTTAGCTAGTAATAACTAGGCTTTGATCAAACCGTGATTTATTCGAAATCTAGTAATTGATACCATTTTAATCGCCTTATTGAATTGTGTCAAAGTCATCGAATAATCACGGCTTGATCAAAAACCAATTATTATTAATTAAAGTTGAATTTGATCGACCAATTCCATCAAAAGTTAATCATTCATTCAACTTGTTAATCTAAGGATCACGAATTGATGAAATTGAATAAAAATTTACAAAAATATTATATTTATTTACAATTACATGATACCATTCAAATATTTCATTCGTGTTATTCATTTAATTCAGCTCATAAACACAAAGGTCTTATTCACAGCTCAATTACATGATACCATTCAAATATATCATTCGTGTTATTCATTTAATTCAGCTCATAAACACAAAGGTCTTATTCACAGTTCAATAACCTTATAGAGTCTGCTTTGGACTTGTTTTGTGACGCTGTGGGGTGAATAGGTTTTTCCAGACAAATAAAATGATTTCTAACTGGTCCAAAATTCGTCTGGTTTTTTTCATCCCGCCAACCAGCTGCTCTTAATGTAAGTGCATGTTAAGATGGTCAAAAACAATAATTTACCTATACACGAGCAGACAGAGCAGAAACAAACATATCCTCTTCGAAGTACTATACTATGTGATGGCGATCCAAACCCCATATGTTTTTCCTTCGTAATAAATATCCGATCGAGCAATAATAATTTTTTAAAATAGAATGTTATTTTAGCATTAATAATTTTCTGTTACATTCAAGTTTTTTTAAGGGTTGATAACATTGATACCATCAATAAAAAGAAATTTAGTAATTAATACCATGAAGTCATAGATCGATTACCATCTATGAATTAGACTGTATCACGAAATTTCAAGTATAAATAATTTTATTACTATGTCGAATTATAAATTGTGAAATTTTACAATTTTAATTT